AGAGGGAGGAAGGGCCTGCGCGGCCTGGACTCCGGGTCTGGAGGGAAGGAGGGGCTGGGGAACCTGGATCCTGGGTCTGAGCGAGAAGGCGCTGGGCGCCTGGACTCCTCGTCTGAGGGAAAGGGGGCTGGGGGCCTGGACTCCTGGGTCTGGAGGGAAGAGGGGCTGGGGAACCTGGACTCCTGGGTCTGAGGGAGAAGGCGCTGGGGGCCTGGACTCCTGGGTCTGAGGGAGGAGGGGCTAGGGGCCTAGGCTCCTGGTTCCTGAGGAAAGAGGGAGTTGGTGGGTACACACGTTTGTCTCACCGTTTTTGTGCTTGATTTTTTGCTGGAGATGTGGAAGGTGATCATGTCATCCCCCATGAAGATATAAGAAACACCATAACCATGGTCATCAGCCTGGAGTCAGAAAGAGTGAAGGGAAGAAAATATCTCCGGTCTCCTCCACCCCCACTAGACAGGAGTGCAGGCCCCCAGCCCCCTCTTTCCTATAGGGGCCAGCGCGCGCCAGCTCCACTCACAGGCCCGAATCCACCGCCGGAGGAAACATAGTCCGGGTAATTGTGGACGTCAAACAGATGCATTTGCTGAACAGGGATCTGGCTGGTGGACAGCTGCCACTGCTCCGAATGGACCTGAGGACAGGAGCCCATCACATGTGCAGGACAGAGATCTGCAGTTCCGGCCCTTGGCTCCACTTCACTCCCTGCATCCCTGGCTCTTTCTCACCCCTAAATCCCGGGCCTCCTTCTCCCCGACCACACCCTTCTCCTGGCCATGCCCTATCTGGCCACGCCCCTCATCTTCTCACCAACCACGTCCCTCTCCCCTTCTCCCTCGGACCACGCCCCCCTTCTGACCACGCCCTTTCCTCCTAGCCCCACCCCACTGACCCTTTCCTCTTTTGTCTGCTCGGTTGCCTGGTTGCATCTCCGCCTTCTGCCTTTCTTCCCCCGCCCTCCAGCGCTCTGACTGACTTCTCTGCTGTTGCGTCCTTTCTCAACATCACCCTTTTTTTTTTCGAGACAGAGTCTCGCTCTGTCGCCCAGGCTGGAGTGCAGTGGTGCGATCTCAGCTCACTGCAACCTCCGCCTCCCGGGTTCAAGGGATTCTCCTGCCTCAGCCCTCCCAAGTAGCTGGGATTACAGGTGTCTGTCACCATGCCCAGCTAATTTTTGTATTTTTGGTAGAGATGGAATTTCACCATGTTGGCCAGGCTGGCCTCGAACTGTTGACCTCAAGTGATCCGCCCACCTCGGCTTCCCAAAGTGCTGGGATTACAGGCGTGAGCCACCGCGCCCGGCCTTGATGGGTCCTTTTTCAACATCACCCTCCTTCCCTGAAGCCTCTCCCTTCTTCCATGGTCTCCCATTTCCCTCTCTAACCCTTTCCCTGTGCCCCAACCTGGGTCAGGAAGGGCGACTGCAGGTGGAGGAATCGGGACACGACGTAGAGTGCAAAGAGGTGGCGGTCGACTCCCTGCCCGCTCATGGCTGCCTTCAGCAGAGCCTGGTGCTTGTCCACTGCCACGCGAAACAGGGCAAGGCACTGTGGGTCCTGGGGTCCCCAGGGAGGTCACAGGTCATGGAAAGACAGGAAGTCGACTTAGTGCTGGGCCTGCGGCACACCTGGCCTCAACCAAGCTTGCCGCATCCCTGCAAGGTGGGAATATCAACCCCATTTTACAGATGGGGAACTGAGGCTTAAAGAAGGGAAATCATGTGCCCAGGTTCACACAGCCAGGGACAGCCAGGTGGGTTTCTAGGTGTGTCTGGCCCCAGAGCCCAAACTCCTCCCATGGAACCACAATACCTTGTAGGTGCGGGAGTAGGTGTGGGGCAAGGGAGCAGAAGTGAGGGGTGGGTGGGATCTGGGCAGAGGGGGGTGCGGGGAATGGTGCAAAGGAAGGTCATAAGGTCACATAGAGGTTAAATGGGCAGAGTTACATTGTAAAAATGGAGTTCCGGCCAGGCCCATCGGCTCATGCTTGTAATCCCAGCACTTTGAGAAGCTGAGGCAGAGAGATCACCCAAGGTCAGGAGTTCGAGACCAGCCTGACCAACATGGTGAAACCCCGTCTCTACTAAAAAAAAAAAAAAAAAAAAAAAAATTAGCTGGGCATGGTGGCGGGCACCTGTAATTCCAGCTACTCAGGAGGCTGAGGCACAAGAATTGCTTGAACCGGAGAGGCAGAGGTTGCAGTAAGCCAAGACTGTGCCACTGCACTCCAGCCTGGGTGACAGAGCAAGACTCCATCTCAAAAATAAATAAATAAATAAATGGGGTTCCTTCTTGGGTGCTCCCCCAGTGCCCTGTGAGACCACCATGAAAGCAGATATCACACTATGCTGGGCTGTCTCCCCCATCGGTGAGCTCTTTGAAGTCAGAGGCCAGGTCTGATTCATCCCTCGTCCCTCGTGCCCCTCATGGAGGCTGGCTTCAGTAGGTCCCATCAATGTTTGCAAGTGGATGAGTGAGTACCCGGAAATGACTGAAGCCTCAAGCGAGGCTTGCACCCACCGTCTTCTCTTTGTCCTCCATGGCCCTCACAAAGTTGCAGGCCTCCCTCGTGCAAGATCGCACCGTCTCCGTCCGGCCTTCCAGGAATAAGCGAGTCATGGCCGACTCATAAGTCAGGCAGAATTGACCCCTGTCCTGGGGGACAAGGAGGAAAAGAGGAGTCTGTCAGCAGGGCTCAGGAAATCTTACAGACTTGACCCATCTCTGTCCAGACCTCCAGCGTCCTCCAGCCAGCCCAAGAATGGTTGGGAGAGAGAATTCAAGATGGCCAACCCACAATGGCAACGACCACAGGGAACTGTGGAGGGGCAGGTCCTGGGGGCTCAGGTGGACTGAGACCCTGAGGGGGCTGTGGTTGGGGAACCCAGCTGACCCGGAAGTGGGCCAGTTGCAAGGCGATCTGGATGAAGCTGTCTGAAGAGAGGTGGCAGCGTCGGATGAAGCTCTTGCCAAATAGGGAGAATGGAAAGACATGGCAGTCGACATTTTCAGACAAGATCTTGGCTCCCCTCAGGGCTAGAGAGATGGAGGAGTGGATCTGCCAGAGGAGGAGGGAAGAGGAGTAGTTGGGGTTACAGATGGGGGTAGGGTGAAAGCCAGGAATGAGGCTGGAAGCGAAGGTGGACGTGGAGTTAGGGTTGCGGCAGAATACGGAAATGGGGACAAAGAACAGAAGAGAATCGAAGGATGAGACTAAAGATGGGGATAGGGGCTGAACATGGTGGCACACGCCTGTAATCCCAGCCTTTGGGAGGACGAGGCGGGTGGATCACCTGAGGTCAGGAGTTTGAGACCAGCCTGGCCAACATGGCGAAACCTCATGTCTATTAAAAATACAAAAAATTAGCCAGACGTGGTGGCAGGCACCTGTAATCCCAGCTCCTCGGGAGGCTGAGGCAAGAGAATCGCTTGAACCCAGGAGGCGGAGCTTGCAGTGAGCCGAGATCGCGCCATTGCACTCCAGCCTGGGTGACAGAGCCGGACTCCGTCTCAAAAGAAAAAGATGGGGATAGGCATGGCAGTGCAGACTGGAACAGGATTGGGGTTGGGCCACAGCTGAAGCTGGGGTTGGGAATGGAGGAGGGACTGAGAGTGGTTTGGGAATGGAATGGGGAAGGGGTTGGATATGGAAAGTGAATTGGAGTTGGGCATGGGTTGTGGTTGGAGGTGGGGTCATGACTGAGTACAGGATGGGGCTGGGGTTGGGTATGGGGTGGAGTTAGGATGAACATGGGAGTGAATTCAGGTGTGGTGGTGGTGTTGGGATGGGATTGGGCATGGAGTAGGGGTTGGTGCTGGGGTTGGACAGTGGTGAGTTTTGAGTCTGAATCGAGGAGAGATGGGGCTGGGGTTGAGGATGGGATTGGCAATGGGAGGAGGGTTGGAGTTGGGGCTGGGGATGAGGTTCGTGTTGGGGTTTGAGGTTGTAGATGCATTTGGCCTGATTTGGAGGTGGGGGAAGTGTGGGTTTCGGGTTGGGGGTAGAAATGGGGTTGATTTTCAGGTTGAGATTGGGGGTGGGGATGAGTTTGGAGTCAAGGCTAGGAATCTTGGGACTTGGAGGAGAGGCCCAGAAACCCAGCCTCACCTGGTCTGGAAGGTCCCATTGCAGCCGCTGGGGTCGGGGTAGTGTGGGGTCCGGGTGCCCCTTGCAGTGGCCATCTGTTGAGTAGCCCAGCTGAAAGCATTCTGTAGCCAGAGTGAACTGTGGACAAACAGAGGCTGTCAGAGACCCTTCCTCCCTGTGGACTGAGGCCATCTAACCGGGACCTCTTTTCACACGGCCCTTTTTGGGGTAGGGGGAAGTCTCTGAGAAACAGAAACCTCTGATGTTCATAGATGGGGTCTCGGGTTCATGTTCCTCAAGAACAGGACTAATACCAATACTCAGCCGGCGTTTACTGTCCCTGTACTTCTTTTCTTTTCTTTTTGACAGGGTCTTGCTCTGTCATCCGGGCTGGTGTGTAGTGGTGAAATTATAACTCACTGCAGCCTCAAACTCCTGGGCTCAAGCTATCCTCCGGAGTAGCTGGGACCACAGGCATGTACCATCATGCCTGGCTAGTTTTTTTTTTGTTTTTTTTTTTAATGTTTTTTGTAGACAGGGTCTCATTTATGTTGCCCAGGCTGGTCTCAAACTCCTGGGCTTAAGTGATCCTTCTGCCTTGACCTCCCAAAGTGCTGGGATTACAGGCATGAGCCACTGCACCCAGCCCGTAGTCGTCGTCTTGCTCTGTAACTCCTCGCTGTGGGACTCTGGGAAAATCACTTCCTTCTTTGAGCCCCAGTTACCAATTCATCAAAGGAAGGTCCTCACCCCAGACCCTTTCTTTGCTGGGTGACCCTGGGCCAGCCTCTGCCTCTCCCTGAGCCTCAGTTTTTCTTTCTTCTCTTTTCTTTTTTTTTTTTTTTGAGATGTAGTCTTGCTCTGTCACCCAGGCTGGAGTGCAGTGGCACGATCTCAGCTCACTGCAACCTCCACCTCCTGGGTTCATGCAATTCTCATGCCTCAGCATCCCGAATAGCTGGGATTACAGGCACACACCACCATGCCTGGCTACCAGTAGCGACGGGGTTTCACTATGTTGGCCAGGCTGGTCTGGAACTCCTAACCTCATGATCTGCCTGCCTCAGCCTCCCAAATTGCTGGGATTACAGGCGTGAGCCACCGTGCCTGGCCAAGCCTCAGTTATTCTTCTGACCCTAAGGCCCTGCAGAGGATAGTCTTTGGAGATGGGGCGGGGGTCCCCAGAACAAGGGAGGGCTGGCCGCCCTACCTCCCACATGTGTCCTGAGATGGGGCAGTCGGCCCAGGAGTGCTCCACGCTGAGGCCCAGCTTCCCGTTAGAGAAGACGATTAGGGTGAAGGATTTGTCAAACCAGCTGTCGGGGAGAGTTCAGAGGGGTCACCGAGAGCGAGGGGCAGGGGGACCTCGGAGTGCTTTCTGTGAGACTTGAGGGGGTTTTCTAGATGGGGAGATGTGGGAATCCATTGGGGTGCTGGTGTGGGGATTTCTAGGACCATTGGGGGTCCTCAGTAGTGGCCCTGGAGGTATCCAAGATATGTCTGGGATTTAGAGTTTGGGGATTTTGTTTGTTTTTTTGTTTGATGGAGTTTCACTCTTGTTGCCCAGGCTGGAGTGCAGTGGCGCGATCTTGGCTCACTGCAACCTCTGCCTCCCAAGTAGCTGAGGGTTCAAGTGATTTTCCCACCTCAGCCTCCCAAATAGCTGGGATCACAAGCACGCACCACCATGCCCAGCTAATTTTTGCATTTTTAGTAGAGATGAGGTTTCACCATACTGGCCAGGCTGGTCTTGAACCCCTGACCTCAAGTGATCTGCCCCTCTCGTCCTCCCAAAGTGCTGGGATTACAGACATGAGCCACCACGCCCAGTCTAGAGTTTGGAGATTTTTAGAGAACTCACTGAGGAAGGTTCAAGGCTTTTGGGGGTGCTGGGAGGTCAGTGGGACCCCCCTGGGGCCTAGGAATTCAGTGATGCCTGCCAGGCCTGAGAATCTCTAGGTCTGGAAGTCTGCGTTTGGGGCCATGGGTTTGGGGTGCCTGCATTAAGGCCTGAGGATTGAATGGTTCAAGTTCTGAGGCCGAGGTTGCCAAGTCTGGGGTCAGGGCCTAGGGGTCCTGGGTTTGGTGGTCCTCAGATCTGGGGTCTCTGGGTCTGAGGGTCCAGCTCAGGGGTTTGGAGTCTCGGATTTGGGGGTCACTGGGACTGGGTTATAGGTCTTGGTCCCAGGTCTCCAGCTCCCAAAGCATTGGGTCTGGGGTCCTCAGCTCTAGGCAGCCGCTGGTCTACAGACTTTGCAGGTGTGGGCTCCAGGGTCTGGCTGTCTACTGTCGGGGGTCCTAGGTCTGATATTGCATTCTGGGGTGCCATGTCTGGGGGCCCCATCCCAAGACTGACTCACCGGTCATGGCCCCGGCCAGCCAGCAGGGCATGGGCATAGGCATCCAACGACGCTGCTGGGTCCTCCCTGGTGAGCCCCGCGGGCTCAGCGTCCAGTGACACAAAGAAAGCGGCCCCTTCCACTGCCTCCAGGGCCTCTGCTGCCTGGGTCTTCAGGGACGTTCGCACCTGGGCCCACGTGCCCCTAGAGGGCCCGGGATGTGCCTGAGTCCATCCTGCCCAGCCGCCACCTGGTCCCACCCTGCCCTTCCACGGCCCCAGGACACTGGCGGCCTCTGAGAGCCCCTGACCCCTGACCCCCGACCCTTACCTGGGAGCAGCGGTCAGAGCAGCCAGATGTTCCTCGTGGGGGCAGGCCGGTGAGGGATCATCCAGGATTCGCTGAAACTGCTGCTCCAGGGCCCTCGGGGAAAGCAGGCTGTTTCGGGAGTGGGTCCCCACGCGGAAGAATCGGCCCCGGTGGAAGACAGCCACGTGTTGGCTGTCATGGAGGTGGCGGATGTAGTCTAGGGGTGGCGTTGGCAGAAGCGTGGGGACAGGCCAGACACATAAAAATAGCGACCATTTATTATACGCTGCTTAGGTGTCATCAGTTGTTCAAAGCACCCTAGTAATCATCAGCACCCTAGGACTTTTGGTTTTTGGAGACAGGGTCTCGCTCTGTCGCCCAGGCTGGAGTGCAGTGGTGAGATCTCAGCTCACTGCAGCCTCAACCTCCTGGACTCAGGCAATCCTCCCACTTCAGGGTCCTGAGTAGCTGGGACCACAGGCGCATACCACCATGCCTGGCTAATTTTTGAATTTTTCATATAGATTGGATCTCACTACGTTGCCCTAGGCTGGTCTCGAACTCCTGGCCTAAGCAATCGTCCACCTCGGCCCCCCAAAGTGCTGGGATTACAGGCATAAGTCACTGTGCCCAGCTCCTAGGTACAATTATTATCCCACTTTAGTGGAAGCCGAGGCTCAGAGAGGGTAATAACGTGCAGAAGGTCACACAGCAAGGATGCAATGGGTCCCAGCTCAGGCAGGCGGACTCCAGAAAACATGCTCTTAGCCACTATATTGTTCTGCCTCCATCAGTGGGGACAGGAGAGGGTCTCACCTTTTTGGACCCCTGGAATCCGCGTGGTGTTGAAGATCTTCTCATACTGGGCAGAGCATAAGGGACGCATTCCCATTAGCAAAGTCTGCAGGAAACCGTGGGCTGTGAGCTGCCTTCCAGGACCCATGTGGCCTAAAGGCCACAGGACCACACCTCCATCCCCAGCCCACTGGGGCCCTCTTACCGGGGGTATCTCCTGGCGGTTCAGGCGGTGGCGGTACAGGAGGAGGGCGTGGACGGCATTCCCAGCGCGAGCTGCCTGCAGAGGCGTGGGTGTGACATACAGGAAGTCCTGGGGACCAGGAGAGGGGACGGCAAAACACCCGGGGTCAGGTTTACCCTTGATGGAACCACTGACCCAAATACAGGTCCCGACCCCAAAAGAGGGCGGAACGATGAATCCCAGATGGTGCGTCCAGATCCAGGTCACTGAGCATGAATGTCACATTCCATCCAGGTACCCCAACCCTAGACCTGGGGCCTGTGAACCTCACCCCTCCCCTTCTCACCATCATGTAATAGTTGCTGTTCACCATCAGCGGATTTCGGGAGCGCAGGTACACAAATTCCTCCCACCAGTCACTGACCTGGGATTAGGGTGGGGAGACACACAGTGAGGGGCCAGGGCCTTGCTGCGGGAGGGACAGTAGGACAGGGAAGGCCCCAGATGTTCCTGTGTCAGGGAAGGAGGATACAGCCAAAGAAGCCAGTCATCGTAGTCAGTAAATAGCAATCACCTAGAAATCCATCCATGGGGGATCAGTTAGCTAAACCCTGTTACACTCCAGCAGTGCCCTATTACATAGCTATTGGAAAGAACAAGGTACAGCTGGGCGCGGTGGCGCCTACCTGTAATACCAGCACTTTGGGAGGCTGAAGCAGGTGGATACCTGAGGTCAGGAGTTCAAGACCAGCCTGGCCAACATGATGAAACCCCATCTCTACTAAAAATACAAAAATCAGCCAGGCATGGTGGCACACGCCTGTAATTCCAGCTACTCGGGAGCCTGAGGCAGGAGAATCACTTGAATCCTGGAGGCATTGGTTGCAGTGAGCCGAGATCGTACCATTGCACTCCAGCCTGGGCAACAAGAGTGAAACCCTGTCCCCCCCCCCAAAAAAAAAAAGAGGAGAAAAGAAAAGCAGAATATAAATGTAAAATTTATAAAACAATAAATATGTGAAATAATATATATATGTGTAAATACATGAAAATTTTGGCCTTGCCAATACCATAATAAAATCAAACAATGAAAAACACAAAAGAAAGCACTGTGTCACAGTTTAGCTGGTCTTGTAGGGTTTGTTTTTGTTGTTGTTGTACATAAAATAATGGTGTGTGTATCACTGGCAGTTGGCTTGGAGGTACAATAAAATATACAGGCCAGGAGCGGTGGTTCACGCCTGTTATCCCAGCATTTTGGGAGGCTGAGGTGGGAGGATAGCTTGAGCCTAGGAGTTTGAGACCAGCCTGGGCAACATGGCAAGACCCCATGTCTACAAAAAAGTTCAAAAATTAGCAGGGCTGGGGGGCACAAGCCTTCCTGAGTCCCAGTTACTAGGGAAGCTGAGGTGGGAGGATGGCTTGAGCCTGGGAGGTCAAGGCTGCAGTGAGCCATGATCACGCCACTGTACTCCAGTCTGGGTGATAGAGTGAGACCTCTTTCAAGAAAGAAAAAGAAAAGAAAGAAAAAAAAAGAGAAAGAAAGAAAGAGAGAGAGAGAGGGAGGGAGGGAGGAGAGAGAGAGAAAGAAAGAGAAAGATAGAGATAAGAAAAAGAAAGAGAGAGGCCAGGCGTGGCGGCTCACGCCTGTAATCCCAAAGGGAGGAAGGAGAGAGAGAGAAAGAAAGAGAAAGAAAGAGAGAAAGCAAGAGAAAGAAAGAAAGAAAGAGGCCAGGCGCGGTGGCTCACGCCTGTAATCCCAGCACTTTGGGAGGCCGAGGCAGGCGGATCACGAGGTCAGGAGACTGAGACCATCCTGGCTAACACGGTGAAACCCTGACTCTATTAAAAATACGAAAAAAAAAAAAAATTAGCCAGCTAGGGGAGGCTGAGGCAGGAGAATGGCATGAACCCTGGAGGCGGAGCTTGCAGTGAGCCGAGATCGCGCCAGTGCACTCCAGCCTGGGCGACAGAGCGAGACTCCGTCTCAAAAAAAAAAAAAAGGAAGGAAGGGAAGGAAGGAAGGAGACAGAAAAAAAGAAAGGAAGGAAGGAGAGAGAGAAGGAAGGAAGGAAGGAAATAAGGAAAGAAGATAGGAAAGGCGGGAGGGAGGGAAGGAAGGGAAGAAAAAAATATGCGTGTGTGTGTGTGTGTGTGTAAGTAGAATCTTGTCCAAAAGTGTGAAGAAAAACAAAAATTTAACCAGAAAAGCAAGGCCTGCCGTTCCCTTCTACTTCTCGACATTTCGTCCCCTTCATTGGGTTTGACCAACTGAGCCTGCCATATCGGTGCCCCTTGGGGCTCTGCCGCAGACCCTCTTCCCTTCCCCTCTCGCTCTCACCACAGGTTTTCTCATCCGAGCCCAGTGTCTCAATGACCTACAATGGTAGATCTCACGGTAGCTTCCTCTGCAGCCTCCCACCCTCCAGTCTTTCCCCCACACCAGAGCTGACCCAGCCCCTTCCTTGCTCCAAACCCTCCCATGGCTCCCTAGTACCTCCAGGAAAGAGTCCAGGATCCTCAGTCTGGATTTCAGGCCTCTCCCACCACTCCTCACCATTCAACTCCTTTGTGGGTTTTTTTTGTTTGTTTGTTTTTGTTTTGTTTTGTTTTTGAGACAGAGTCTCGCTCTGTGGCCCAGGCTGGGGTGCAGTGGCACAATCTCAGTTCAGTGCAACCTCTCCTGGGTTCAAGCAATCCTCCCGCCTCAGCCTCCCGAGTAGCTGGGATTATAGGCGCATGTGCCACCACGCCCAGCTAATTTTTGTGTTTTTAGTAGAGACGGGGTTTCACCATGTTGTCCAGGCTGGTCTCGAACTCTTGACCTCATGTGATCTGCCTGCCTCAGCCTCCCAAAGTGCTGGCATTACAGGCGTGAGACAGTGCGCCAGGCCTAGGTCCTGGAATTCTGGTTCAGTCTTTGGAAGATCGAGGGTGGAGCTCAGAATATTGGAGCATCTATACCCTTAACCTCAACATTAAACATAGAGAGCATATATATGTTATGAGCATATATATAAAAATAAATACATATGCTTATATGTATATTTAAATGTTGAGGTTAGGCTACAGACGTATGTGAGCGGGGCTCAGTGTATTGGCCCTTGGGGGCCCAGGATGCAAGCCCGGGGCCAGGCTCCAATCGCTGCAGGGGGCGTGTGGGTTGTGGGCGTGTCGTGGGGCGGGGCGTGTAGAACTCGCAAGTTTAGCAGGGCGAGCTCACAAACTTAGCCTTTCAGGTAGGGCCTTGGTGGCAGTGGCGGGACTCACATAATTGGACGCCCACCAGGACTTGAGCCTCAGGTACCACTGCAGCAGCGACGCCTGCAGCCTCAGGAATTCCTGCGCCAGGACCGCGGTCCAGTCGAAGTCCTCGTCGGAGAGGACGGGCCGGACCGACTCCAGGTACTAAAGGAGAGAAGACTGCAGGTCATGCCCGCGGCCCGCCCCGGCCACCCCGGCCCATCTGCGCGCTCCCAGGCCCACCTTGCGCACGGTGTCCTGCACAGAGGGCACGGGCTGGCGCGGCAGGGAGCGCTGGTAACTGAACAGCATCGGGTGGCGGCCTGAGAAGATGCGGACCAGGGCCTGGGGAGGAGGAGTTACCGGGTCATTAACCCCTCACTGGGACCAGGGAGTTGAGGGGGGCAGGGGTCAACAGTGGGACAGAAACCCAAAGAGAAGGACACAGACACTTAAGAGCATCAGAGACCCCGAGAGAGAAAAGGACAGAGACCCAGAGACAGGGGACAGAGACCCAGAGAGAGAAGGACAGAGACCCAGAGACAGGGGACAGAGACCCAGAGAGAGAGGGGGACAGAGACCCAGAGAGAGGGGGGGATAGAGATCCAGAGAGAGGGGGACAGAGAAGTGGGTCCCAGGAGAGCGGGAGTAGGGCTATGCCCCTCCCATACCAGCCAGGTCTTGGTGGGGGAGGACATGGCTCCGTGGGGCTCAAGAAGCCAGCCGTGGTAGGACAGAAGCAGCCTGAGGGCCACGTGCAGTGTGAAGATCAGGGTTCCCCACAAACAGGAGGCAAACAGCGCAGCTGCCAGGACCCCCCGGAGCCCGTGGTGCTGTCCGCCCCTGCAGGGAGAGAAACAGAGGCTGGGCCTAGGTCTCCTGGCCTCAGAATCTCCCTCCCTTCCAGCCCCCTCCAGCCCCTGCACTGATCTTTTGGCTGTCAGACAGAGAAACTCATTTTTGTCATTTTAGTAGGTGTGAGCTCTGTCACCCCCTTCAGCCCCCTCCCATTGTGGCAGCACCAAGCTTCCAAAGTCACTTTCCATGGAAACCGGTAGGTGCTTAATAAATGACAGCCATTATTTCTATTGAGGGGACACTTTTTCCTCCCAGCTATCACTACTCTAAGGCAATAGTTCTGAAACTGTGGCTCCTGGGAGCACCTCCTGGGAGCACCGCCTGGGAGCTTGTTGGAAATACATATTTCTGGCCCCTTTGACACCTAACAAGCCAAAATCTCTCTGGGTGGGGTCCAGCAATCAGCGTTTTTTTTGTTGTTGTTTGTTTTGTTTTGTTTTTGAGATGGAGTCTCACTCTGTCGCCCAGGCTGGAGTGTAGTGGCACGATCTTGGCTCACTGTAACCTCTGTCTCCTGGGTTCAAGCAATTCTCCTACCTCAGCCTCCCAAGTAGCTGGGATTACAGGTGTCTGCCACCATGCCCAGCTAATTTTTTGCATTTTTAGTAGAGACAGGGTTTCACCACGTTGGCCAGGCTGGTCTCGAACTCCTGACCTTAGGTGATCCGTCCCCACTTGGCCTCCAAAAGTGCTGAGACAGATGTCAGCCACCGCGCCTGGCCATAATCAGTGTTTTAACAACCCATCAGGTGGATACCAATGCCAGCCTTAAATTTAGGAAAAGCTGGTCTAAAACTACATTAAATCAGCACGTTTGTGTTTGCAAAGTTTGCAAATGTCCTTGGATGGACTTGGGTCAAATGACTTTCCCTCTATAGACTGAGTAAATCTAGTGTTCTGGGGAATTTTTTTTGCGGGGGGAGGCTAGAGACGGGAGTCTCACTATGTTGCCCAGGCTGGTCTCAAACTCCTGAGCTCAAGCCTCCTGCCTCAGCCTTCCGAAGTGCTGGGATTACAAGTGTGAGCCGCGGTGCCCGGCATCCCTCTTGGAAATGTCTACATTGGTCCCGGCGTCTGTGCTGTGAAGCCATCTGCACCAAATGTGGACCTTCTTCCCCAGGAGGACTCATCAAAGAACTAGGACCTGACATATCACCTGCACCCGGTTTTCTTTTTTTTTTTTTTTTTTTTTTTTTTTTGAGACGGAGTCTCGCTCTGTCACCCAGCTGGGGAGTACAGGGCCGGATCTCAGCCACTGCAAGCTGTCTCCACGGTTTATGCCTTCTCCTGCCTCAGCCCACC